TTGCTGAAGACAACACCTACACAGTTCATTGAACATGGAGATACCAAGATAGTGCTTACAAAGAGCCTTAACCTATGGTCCAGTGTCTTTGTTACAGGAAAGTACTCTACATGCTATCAAAAGAGAAAGGTAAACACCAAGCCAGCCTTCATCTACAATGCTGTACTACCCGAACGATATGCTAGAGCAATGGTGGCACAAAGCTTGTGGGAGTAACCAACCAACAACTGATATGACTTATGTCCCACTCCACAAGATGGACCACATACCTGACACTGCTTGGGTGACGAAGAACCTGAGACTTTATAGGCCAGAGACCTAGGGCAAAACCAAATAATTCTGGTCTTTAAAAAACAAGAAATAAAAATGAAAGATACGTAGCAATAAAATGACTCCTAATGACTGCTAAACTCATAGATCAGTCAGTGCCGTGTTCAACCATCATCAGAGAAGTTTCATTGTGCAACAGATGGGAACAAATATAGACAGCCATATCCAACCAGACAGTAAGCAGAGAGTGAGAGATCTTGGAACACTCAGTCCTAAGTGGGATGTCTCCATCAAATCCCCATCCTCTGAGCTCAGCGATCCCTGAGGAAGAGTAGGAAGTAAGAATATAAGAGCCAGAGAGGGTGGAGGACACCAAGCAAACAAGGCCATCTAAATCGACATGAGCAAAGCCCATATAACTCACAGAGACTGAAGCAGCAAACGTGGGGTCTACGCAGGTCTGCACCAGGTCCTACGAAAGTGTTTTTATGGAAATCCTGTGAAGGAGTGTGTCCCTGACTCTTGTAGCCTCTCTTGGTCTCTTTTCCTTCATCAGTCTGTCCTACTGACTTCAATGTGATAGCTTTTGCTGTAATTTATTACAAATTATTTTGTTACATTTTTAAAGAAAAATTAATTAATATAAACCTAGACACCAGAGTAAACATTAACAACAGAATTGTCATTTATACTTGTTAGGAAAGGGAAAATCCAGTTTTCTCCTGGAATGATATTGATTAGTATCAACTACTCCAGGACAGCTCTCATGCTCAGGAACAGTTGACCATGAAATAATTGATTCTGCAGGTAAGATTGAGAGAAAGACATACAGAGAGAGAAAGAGAGAGAGAGACAGAGAAAGAGACAGAGACAGAGACAGAGAAAGAGAGACCTCCTTATACATAATTTTTAAATGTCATCACAGAAGTCATAGAAGTATAAAATTATTGGTAATTTTTAACAAACTTTTTCTCTGACGTGTAAAAATTTGTTTGAAAATAAAACAGAAGAGGGAAAGTGGGAATAAAAGAAGATAAAATAAGATTGGAAAACCTTGTTTGTGTTTACTGGCCATTTGTACTTCATTTAAAATTTCTGCTCATTTCTATAACCTACATATTGATAGGACTTTTTGACTTCCATTCTGTAGTCTGTCTCTTTTCACTTTGTTGACTGGTTTCTTCTTTTTCTGTGAAGAAACTTTGAATTTAGTGCAAGGCCATTTGTCAAAACTTGCTTTTGTTTTTCAAGCTATCAGAGTCCTATTCAGCAAGTTATTACCCACAACTACTTCTTGAACTCTTTTGTCAATGTTATCCCCCAAAGAGTTCCAAAGTTTTAGAGTGTGCATTAAAGTGCTTGAGCCATTTTGAGGTTATTTTTGTACAATGTAGGAGCTGAGGATAAGTGATCTGGTTTTATTGATAACCAGTTTTCCTTGGTACCAGGATCAGATGACAACAGCTACTTGGCTTTATTTTTGGATATTTAGTTGTATTCAGTTGGGTTATAGGTCTTCTTTTTATCTTAGGCTAGTGCTCTTTTGCTTTTGGTTCTGTAACCTTAAGCACAGTTTGCAGCCCAGTATTATGATGCCTCCTGCATCACACTTCTTGCTCAGATTTTCTTTGGCTATGTGGCATCTCTTTTATTCCCATGTGAATTTTAGCATTCTTTCTACACAATGTCTATTAATAATGTCATCAGAAGTTTAATGGGGATTACATTATATTTATATACTGCTCTTGGGAAGACATTTGTTTTAACATTTATTCTACCAATTAATGAACATAAGAAAGCTTTCTGTCTTCCAGTGTCTTATATCATTTCTTCCTCCAATGTGCAATAGTCTCTACTGTAGGTCATCTTAATATATTTACTTAAGTTTAAGCTGTTGGAAATGGAATTTCCTTCCTTACTTCTTTCCTACTGAGTTCATTGTTGGTGTATGGAAAAATTACTCACTTCTATATGTTGATATGTTGATATTTTACCACTTTGTTGAAAGCATAAATCATGCCTAATAGTTTTCTACTGTACTATTTAGGTTCTTCTAAGAATATGTATTTTAGCCACCAGGACCATTCAAATCACATGTGAATACATGGAGTCAGAGATGAGATATGGGAGAGAACATGCAATGTTTCCTCAGATATGAGGATATGGCACGGAGTAACCACAGAAACCAGAAAATTATTGGTGTGTGTGTGTGTATATGTGTGTGTGTGTGTGTGTGTGAGAGAGAGAGAGAGAGAGAGAGAGAGAGAGAGAGAGAAGAGAGAAAGACAGAGACAGAGACAGAGAGAGGGGGAGACAAATATTCTCAGCTATAAAGAAAAAATGGAATTTGTTTTTTCAAGAAAGTTGTTAGAACTAGAGATGGGCATGTTATGTAAAATAAGTCCATCCCACAGAGAAAAATACTATATTTGCCCTCTTTTATGATTCCTAGTATGAAAAGGAACAAGAGACTAAAAGGAAACTTCTAAATGTGAAGTAGGGATAGATAAAGCAGGACACGGGAGAGTGAGTGGATGGTGCTGTTAGGGAAGTCTGTTGAACTAGAAGACTTAGGTACTTGCTGGCAGTCTGGCATTGAAGGCTACAGTCTGAACCACTTCCAGTATTAACTATGGTTCTTATCAGCCACCCACATGTTAGAAACCACAGTAAAATGTTTCTATCACTGTGAACCCCACCATTACTTTCCCTTCCATGATAGAAAATAGTCCCAAATCCAGGAGCTAAAATAAACTTAAGTTGCTTCTCATGGGTCACAGTGATGAGAAAGTTAACTAATATGTGTATTTGACATAATACTTAACATAAATCTGTTTGGTAATACGTGTGTGTGTGTGTGTGTGTGTGTGTGTACTACTCATGTGTTCCTTTTGTTAATGATATAAGCAAATATATGACAAAGGCGACTTATAAAGGAATGCTTTGCTTTTGTGTATAATTTGAAGGGATATCATGTTGAAGAAGGCATAGTGGCAGTAGTACAAGCAATGGGTTACAGCCTATCTAAACTCAAGAGGCAAAGAATAGCATTCTCCTCTCCATTCTGTCTTGACTAATGTCACCAACTGTGCTGACTAGTTTTTTGTCAACTTGACAGAAACTGGGTTCATCTGGGTAGAGGGGACTTCAATTGAGAAAATGCTTTCAGCATATTGTCCTGTTTGTGAGACATTTTCTTGATGAATTATTGCTATGGCCCAGACCACATTGTGGGTGATGCCACCACAAGGCAGGTGTCCCTGGGTTGTACAAGGATGGAAAACCATAGGGAGCAAGCCAGCAAGAAACATTCCTTTATGGCCTCTGCTTCTGTCCCTGCCCCCATGCTCCTTCTCTGATTAAGTTCCTGACTTGATGACCCTCAATGATGGACTGTGGTCAGGACATGTAAGACAAGTTAAAGCTTCATCTTCCCAAGTTGCTTTTAGTCAGTGTTTTATCATGGCAATAGAAAAAAATATATACTCAATTTACTATAGGCCTTCCCATATCCATTAACCTAATCCAGGGACTCCCTCACAGACATATCCATAGGTTGTTTCCATACTGACTCTAAATCTCAACAAGTGTGCAATCAAAATTCTACCACATTACTGACACCAAATATGTGGCTAAATCATAACATTTCCCTGCTGGTCACTGGCCTCTCATTTTATCTCACAATGCAAAATACATTCAATACATCTCTAAAAATCCTCATACTTTTTGGCAGTCCTGGCACCATTCAAAAGTCCAAGGCCTCTTCTCAGAGTCAAAGCAATTACCTAATTGGAAACTCGTATAAAATTAATGAGGCGGCAGTATACTTCCAGCAAAGGATAGCACACAATAAATCTCCCTATTCCAAAGTGGAGGAAAGGGAGCATAGCAAAGAAGGATTAGACCAAAGTGAAACAGAAGCTGGCATAAAAACTTGGATTCTATATCTCCATGTCTGATATCTGGGGCTTGTTATGGAGTCAATTAGTTTCTAAGGGACAAAGATACTCCTCTTCTTTTCTCCCCTGTTCTGTCTCCAGCACCACTCTTGTGCTTGCACCATTCCAAACCTGAGACACTCCTCAGAAGATTCCCACAATTCTAGAATCCTCATTGCAACTCAGACTCCACAGCTTCTTGAAATGGTCACTCAAGGTCACTTAGCAAGGAGTGCAACCACAACACATGTTGCTTTGATACCAACCAACTCACCCACGACACTGTCTTCCTAGATTTAAACACATTTGCAATAAAATTTGAGGAAATTAATGTCACAGTTGCTTTTACATTTCCCAGCTGTTAGAATTTCTTTTATTCTTGTGAAATAAAACAATAAGTTGAATAAAGATGGAAAATGAGCATCGTGGCAGCAGCAGGCTTCTGTGACACACTTGAGCTCTGATGGGGAATGTACTATGTATGTTTATCTTATTGATTGTTAGATAAAATACTGTTTGGCCAATGAAACAGCAAGTTAGACAGGACTAGGAGTCAAAGAGGATTCTGGGAAATGTAGTAGAGAAGTGGTGATCCAGGCAGGAAGTGACATAGCAAGGAGACTCATATCTAAGAGAGGAAACAGGAAGTGGCCCCTTTTTCCCTTCACCTCCTCCAGCAGCACAATGTGATCCACCGGCAAGGAGGGACGTCAATAAGGCGTCCGATAAGATAAGTCTTATAAAATAATAGAGTTATAATAAAGACTGAGCTAACAGATGAGGAATCCTAATCATTGGTCAAGCAGTTTTGAACCTAATACAAGTTTCTGTGTATTCATTTGGGCCCAACTCAGGCGGGCAGCTGGCATAAAGCACACACGTGGCAATGGGGCTCAGGCGGCTTTTGGCAGAAAAATTTATTGTAACAGAGCTCCATTAGCTTTCAAAGCACACACACATCTGTCTCTGGGTTTTACCTGAAAACTGCTACAAACAGAAATAGCAAAGCTATATTTAAGGAACGATGTTTATTTTTACATTTTACTGCCATTTAGGAAATGGTAATGAATCTACTTTTAAACACAATGTGTAATTTTAAACTAACATGATATACAAACCATAGAGAAATTGAAAGAATGTACTTTGAAAGATCTGAAATGTTAGAATATCATTATGGCATGAGGACAATGGTAAGGTAGGCAGTGGCTCATCTGGGGACATATTCACAGGGTTTGTTCTAATTATTAATGTAAAAGGAGCTTGGTCACTTAATTCCATAAAGTGTGGACATAAGTGCCACAGGCCGTTTGTCTGTTCCTCCCTCATGTCACTCCAGGAACAGTGATGTTTTGTATTTTCCATCTTTCATGTTCGTAGAAAGTCACAACTTTTGTTTTTAGCTAAAATCCTATGAATTTTTTTTTGTTTTTCTTTCTCCACTATTTGCACAGGTGTTTATCATAGAAACCCAGCACTGGTAACTTTTTTTCTCAGTGTAGAAGAGGAGTGGGAAAAGCTAAGCTCACAGGACATTGGGGCTCATAAGTAGGTCAACATGGAAGAGGTAGAGAGTACATAGTTACTGGGCCAAGGTTTCTAGGCAGTGTGTGAAATACCCTTAATCCATGCCCCTCATTCCATAGAGACAGGAGGGCACATCCTGCCACTGTCTAGGAAGGGAAGGCACTGAGCTGAAACTGCACTAGGCAGAGGGCGTCTGACCAAAATATCTGGGAATAGACGAGCAGTGTCTCACTTGTGTCATTTTTTTTCACCCCAAGGAATTTTTTATCTCTTCATGCAAGTTTTATCTTCTCAAATAAACACATCTAAATTCAAACTGAGCATTAGGCAAAAATCATAGTTATCATGTGTATTGATTTCTCTATTGTTCATTTTCCTAACAACTTAGGCTCTAATTACTGTTGCACTTTCTTTTGCAACAACTATTATTTCCCCCTTTGTTTTCATTCCAAATAGTACCATTCTGCTGCATGTCCTTGTCCAGTTGGTGTACAGTATCTGTACTTTCAGTGCGTCATTCTCGGACTCACAATCACTCAGATAAGTGTTTAATCCTCACCTCTTTCTCCATTCAAATTTTTGTTACAAATCCCACTCCTTGGTCCCTTTATTCCAGATGCTCCAGTTGCATGTTTTCTACAAAATTCTGAACTCTATTGTGCTCAGTTCTTTCAAGAGAGCCCTTAGACATTCACTTCTAAGAGAGTTCTTAAATTTGTAAACAATATGTCCCAGAAGAAGTCTAAGCAAATTATAAGAGGTGTCATTAGCAATTCAAGATTTGAGAAGAAGAGCTTGCTGTATCTTATAAACAGATGGAAAGACAAAAGCACAGCAAAATGATTTAGGTTAGCTGCATAAAAACCCAAGGTCTGTGTGCTGTTGAGAAAATACATTGAGAAGCGCTAGATTGGTGTGAGTGGTCTTTTCTTAACTGAAAAAGCAGACACGTCATGTGAAATGCTTCAAGACATCTGTTGCAACTAACTGTGTTCTCTTAAAAAAGGAAAGCACTTAAACCAAATGTTTGTAGGATGCCTGGAACCAATAAGTGTAGTTCCTGGTTCCTATTCCCACATGAATGAAAACAGGTTCTCAGACACATGGTTATCTCATAATGCACGCTCATTTCAGTCCCTGCACTGACACACACTTCACGGAAAGAAATGTGATAGAGACATAACATGCTCAGGGTAATAAGGCACACTGTGGCTACAAGGAGATACTGAGTTACAGATAGACAGCAAAGCCCTAAGATCTCTGATTTCTGTCCTTGTAATCCCCAGAGGTCAGAGTACCTGCATGTTTATTGTCACTTAATAAAGTGACAAAATGCATCCTTGTTTTATTTTTCATCCTCCATGAGAATATGCTTGACTTTCTAGTTTAGCTCTTCGTTGTTTCTTTTTATTATTTTTTATTAAGTCCAGATTCTGCGAGTGGGTGGCAGAGAGGTATAGAAGTGGCCTGAAGAAAAGACCAAGAGGGCTTCAGGAGACAGATAAGGTAATACTGAGCTTATCAGTAAGTGGGATTCCCAGGTACTTGTGGGTGTGGTGGAAAGAGGGGAGACCCTTCAAGCAGACCGCAGTAATACAAACAATAATCTAGAGGCAGGAATGAAATGGCCAAGGGGGCTCCTGGGTCTGAACCAAGTTTTTGGAATCTGCAGTGAATGGAGCTGAGGTGGGTGGAGGGACACCTGTGAGCAGGTTGTTATGGGGCTAAAGGTGAGATGGAGAGGCCACAATGAAGGACAGAAAGAGTAATGTAGATCACCTGAGTCCCTGACAGCTGTGGCCTCAGGATTTCCAGAGTAGAACATGTTTCTAGGTATCAGGGACACCCACAAAGAATTGGAATAGGCTAGAGCTGGCAGAGAGCTGGGAGGCTCCACATGGAGAATGAAAGTTGTGTCCACACCTAGGGCTGATGGAGCCCCCCTCAATGGAGTAGTGCGAGAGGAGAGAACCTAGACACAGACTTGGGATGAGCCTACAGAGGTTGTAATAAAAAACAAGGATAGTGAAAACTGACTCTCTGAGTCCAACCCCATTGCACCCACTGGAGGTCTGACATAGAGAATGCTTTTAGGTAGTTGGACATTACACAAAATCCCAGGTCAAATGGGATTATGTAATTTGAACATGTCTTTAATTTCGTTATTTTAAATTCATGGCTAACCTACAATAAATGTACATCTTTCTGAGGCATGACATGATATTTCAACACATGAATTCATTGTATAATGTCTAATCAGAGAAACTAGCATATTACTGTAACTTTTATCAGGACTTCTTGATAAAGCTGTCTCTTCTAGATAATTTAAAATATGTGATACATTGTTGTAGAATGTTGTTTTAAGGTGTGTTACTTTTGTTTATGCTCTAGAGCATTTGTTTAATGATGCAAAGATGTGTTTGATTAAATAATATTCACCTGCAGTCAGGAGGCTGAGTCAGCAGCTAGCTGACAGGAAGTGTTAAGGAGGAGCCAGGTAGAGACGGGTTTCTAAGGAGGAGCAAGGAGAGAACAAGGGGAGTTGGACATCAGGGGCCAGCTACCCAGCCACCCAGCCAGCCATGGCGCAAGAGTGAAAGGAAGATATATGGACGTAAAGAAGGGTAAAAGCCTAGAGGCAAAAGGTATTAGAGATAATTTAAGAAAAACTGGCAAGAAACAAGCCAAGCAGACTAAAGAGTGAAATGTCACCCAACAATATATCATGAATAACTTCAGCCATGCCGTATGCCAAGAGCACACAATACATCGACTTATTCTTCTTGACTAACTGTAACTTGTATGAAATTGGAAAATTTAGCATCGTAAATTTTAAGTAGACTTTAACTATAAATATAAAGCTATAAAATAGGTAATATCTGGTTTCATAATTTTAAGCAGTCTTCATAAAACCTTCAATAAATTAGTTTAACCTTCCCTTGTTAAAATAATTGAAATTGCCCGGGCATTGGTGGCGCACGCCTTTAATCACAGCACTCCGGAGGCAGAGGCAGGCAGATCTCTTTGAGTTCGAGGCCAACCTGGTCTCCAGAGCGAGTGCCAGGATAGGCTCCAAAGCTACACAGAGAAATCCTGTCTCGAAAAACCAAAAAAAAAAAAAAATTAAAAATAATTGAAATTACTTTGACATCTAATAACATTATTATATAATATTTTAACTTTAATTCCATTTCATAGATGAACTCAATGATTTTTATGAACCTTCCTCTGTCCACCACAAACCTACCTTCTAAGAAATTCAGTTGTCTATAGAAGAGAATGTGGATTGTTTGGCAAGCTAAAGTCTCATTACCACATCGAATTTCTTGATTGTTCCAATAATCAGAACACTTGCAGCAAATATCAGAATATCACAGCAGATAGTGCAAGGATCGGTCTACAAAAGGGTCTGGTTGTAGCTGTGAAGGAGCCATGGGAAGCATACTTAGTGGCCTTAGGAGGTGAATACCGAGGGCAGTCAGCACATCCCTAACACAAGGTTGGATTGTTCAGCCTCAGGACTCATCCTGTTTCCTCATACGGTTCCTTCTTTGTCACTTTTCATGTTGAAATGTTTATAGACGTTCCTTGTGAAAGGTGCTTGCAAGTATAAGAATTATGTGTAGAATGAGCACAGCTCTTCAGAGAAAAGGCACCATAAAATCTAACACGTAAACAATAAATCAACTCAACAGATAGCAGCCTTTTCTTGTCAAGGAGCAACTGTAAACTGATTCAGAATGTCTGACAGAATAAATAAGGTAAAAGTGAAACTCAATTTGCCTCACCCAATGACAAAAGACAGACATTTGGGTTAAATAGAATTATCTATACCTGATCAAATGAAACAGGACAATAAACACCATTAATATCTGCAAAGCAGGTCTAATGATAAAAAGCTACATTCAGAACAGGTGACATTTTCTAGTCGAATGTCTGTGCCTCAAAGGAAAAGTAATCGATCCAACTCTTATTAATTCTTTACTAAGGATTAATTGTGGAAATAATTTGACACATTTTAAAGAAAATATAAACTGATTAGGCCAGGAATATTAAAGTACATTTTTGGAGCCAGGTGTGGTAGCTGACACTAGTAATTCCAACAATGGGATGGCAGGACGTGAAGACAAGAGGACTGTTGCTGGTTGGAGACTAGCCTAGGCTGCATAGTGAATTTGAGAGAAGCTAGACTATAGATTAAGACCCTGTTTGAAAGAAACAAAACTGCATAATAGCATTAACAGTTTAAAAGGGCATAAATGTGAGCATTATTTAAGTATCAACTTGCATTTTCTCTTCTACAAAGAGCAAAGCTTTCTGGCATTCAAAGCATTGTCAAGAAAGAGATAAATGATTACATAAAAATATAGAATATGTCCCTCTGGAGCAGTATTCTCAACCTTCCTAATGCTGTGACTCATCAATACAGTTCCTCATGTCCTGGTGACCCCCAAACACCCTATAAAATTATGTTTTTACTACTTCATAACTATAAAACATCATTGTATAACTCCCATTAATAAAGATTATTGGATTAGGCCACAAAGAGGGAATTTTTATTTATAATAAAAAACTTATAAATGCAATATATTAAACAGACAGATATCTTGAATTGAAAGAGACTTTATATGATTCAGTGCTGAAAACAATTTGGTAAAATTTCAATCCAATCTAAAATGATAATTTAAAGGCCTAGATCATTAGAAATATAACTGAAAAAACCTTTTTTGCATATATATACATATATATGGAGAGAGAGAGAGAGAGAGAGAGAGAGAGAGAGAGAGAGCAATAATGGCAATAGCAATATGTTATGCATCAATAGCAGCAACAGCTTTTCCAGGTTCTGCAGTCATTTGAACAAAATTGTAGAGACAACCAGCACACTCCATTTAAAAAAAAACAGAAAAAAACAAACAAACAACAAAAAAAGTAAAAAACAAAATCCCAGAAAACAGCGCAGTTCTGTTACTCTTGTGGTACTTGGCACCTTTTTTTTTTTAAATTAGATTCTCAGTCATCATCTGGAAGGAAACCATTCTGAGCAACATCATTAAAAACAGCTCTGATAAAGCATGGTCACTACTATGTATCATAAAGCAGGTCCACATATGAGTGAGTACATATCATGTTTGTCTTTTTGTGATTGGGTTACCTTGCTCAGAATGGTTTCTTCTAGTTCCATCCAGTTTTCTGCAAATTTCAAGATTCCATTGTTTTTTCTGCTGAGTAGTACTCCATTGTGTAAATGTACCACATTTTCTCTATCCATTCTTCAGTTGAGGGGCATCTAGGCTGCTTCCAGTTTCTGGCTATTACAAATAATGCTGCTATGAACATGGTTGAACAGATGTCCTTGTTATATGAATGTGCTTCTTTTGGGTATATGCCTAGGAGTGGAATTGCTGGATCTTGTGGTAGACTCATTCCCATTTTCCTGAGGAGTCGCCATACTGATTTCCAAAGTGGCTGTACAAGTTGGCACTCCCACCAGCAGTGGAGAAGTGTTCCCCTTTCTCCATATCCTCTCCAGCATGAACTGTCATTGGTGTTTTTGATTTTAGCCACTCTGACAGGAGTAAGATGGTATCTCAGAGTTGTTTTGATTTGCATTTCCCTGATGACTAAGGATGTTGAACACTTTCTCATGTGTCTTTCAGCCATTTTAGATTCCTCTATTGAGAATTGTCTGTTTAGTTCTGTACCCCACTTTTTAATTGGATTGTTTGGTGTTTTGGAGACTAGCTTCCTGAGTTCTTTGTATATTTTGGAGATCAGCCCTCTGTCAGATGTGGGGTTGGTGAATATTTTTTCCCAGTCTGTGGGCTGCTGAAACCTTTTAAATCAACATATAATGCTATTTCATATTTTATAACATATAAAGGTTATATAATATTCTAACCCAATGAATATCTAGTGTTATCTGTGTTCAGATTGTGTGTGTGTGTGTGTGTGTGTATGTGTGTGTCTGTGCGCGTGCGTGTGTGTTTGCTAGTGTAGATATACCATGTTTGAACTAGTATTTATGACGAATTTGAAAAAATGTTTTTTAAATGTTCCAACCATTATAATTTCTAATTTATTCATTGATATAATGCAATAGGCCCAAAAAAGCTTATTGTTGACCTTTAAAACTTCTTTTAAAACTGCTAGACATGCTGGGCATTGGTGGCACATACCTTTAATCCCAGCACTCAGGGGGCAGAGGCAGGTGGATCTCTGTGAGTTGGAGGCCAGCCTGGTCTCCAGAGCGAGTGCCAGGATAGGCTCCAAAGCTACACAGAGAAACCCTGTCTCGAAAAACCAAAAACAAAAACAAAAAACAAAAAAAAAACCAAAAAACTGCTAGACATGATTCATGGTATTTTGAATTCAATATATTTAAAGAGATCATAGCTATTTTTCTATTTTTAATGCTTTACTCTTCTAAATATTGGCTTTATAGATCACCTTTAAAGTTGTTTTCTGACACTCTGACATGATTACATTACTTTTTCATCTATGTC